CCCCCCCCCCCATCTGGTTGCTGTTGATGGGTGCCATCAAGTTAGGGCTGACCCACAGAGAGTTTCTGTACAACAAAACGGAACACTACCTGTGTCACCCTCCCAGTTGCTACGTTTGAGCCCATTGTTGCAGCCATTGTGCCAACCCACATCACTGAGGTCTTCCTCGTTTTCCCTGACCTGATACTTTAACAAGCGTGATGTTCTTTTCTGGTCCTGGTTACTCCTGAGAACATGTCCAGAGTCTGGGAGAGGGAGTCTCCCCATCTTCACTTCCAAGGAGGATTCTGCTTATAGGTCTTTCAAGACACGTTTGGTTTGTCCTTCCTGCAGTCCGTGGTACTTTCAGTATTCCTTGTCAACTCAGATACCTCGATACTGCTGTAGTCTTTCTTATTCGTTTCCATCTTTCACACGCATATGTACACGTACATATACCATTGCCACTGTTGATTCTGACTCCTTGTGACCCTACATAGAGTTTCCAGGGCTGTAAATCTTTATGGGAGCAGAGTGCCTCCACGTGCTTCTGCAGAGTGGCTGGGAAGTTTGAACCACTGACCTTGTTACAGCCCCAATGCTAACCAGTGCCACCAGGGCAATTGAAGCCACCATGGCTTGGATCAGGCACAGCTTAGTTTTCAAAGCTATATCTTTGCTCTTCATTCACTTTAAAGAGATGCTTTTGCAGCATGTTTTCTCAATGCATCATTTGCTCTCCTGATTGCTGCTTCCACGAACTTTGATTGTGGATACAAGTGAAATGGAATCCTTGACAACTTCAATCTTTTCTCGGTTTCTCCTGATGTTGTCTCTGATCCAGTTGGGAGAGTTTGGGTTTTCTTTACACCGTGTTGTCATTCATACTGAAGGCTGTGTTTTTTTGATTTTCATCAGCAAATGCTTCAAGTCCTTGTGGCTTTCAGCAAGCAAAATTGTGTCTACTGCCTTGCTAATTGCTGCTGAGCCTTCCTCCAGTCCTGATGCTGCGTTCTTCTTCATAGATTCCAGCCTTTCCGATTATTTGCTTAGCAGACAGATTGAACAAGTATGGTGAAAGGATACAATCCTGACACACACTTTTTCTGATTTTAAATCATACCAGATCCCCTTGTTCGGTGCCCACCACTGACCACTTCTTGGTCTGTACACAGGTCTCCATGAGCACAATGCAGTGTTTTGGAATTCTCGTTCTTCTCAATGCCCTCCATAGATCGCTATAGTCTACCCAGTTGAATTCTTTTGCACAGTTAGTGAAACACACATAAGCATCTTTCTGGAATTCTCTGCTTTCAGGAAAGTTCCATCTGACTTCAGTAATGCTATCCTTTGTTCCACGTCCTCTTCTGAATCAAGCTTTGATTTCTGGAAGTTTCTTGTCAATGTAGAGCTGCAACTTGTTAAATGATTGTCAGCCAAATTTTACTTGTATGTAATATTAATGATACTGTTTAGTAATTTCCACATTCTGTTGGGTTATCTTTATTTAGAATGGGCACAAATATGGATCTAGTCCAATCGATTGGCCAGGTAGCTGTATTCCAGATTTGTTGGCAAAGGTGAAAGTTCTTTCAGTGCTTCACTAGCTTGTTGAAACATTTCAGATGGCATTCTTCAAATTCTAGGGTCTAGTTTTGTGGTTTTGTTTTTGCTAATGCCTTCAGTGTAGCTTTGACTTCTTTCTTTAATGACATGATTGGTTCTTGATCATGCGCTACCTCTTTAAATGGCTGAATGAGGTCCAGTTTCTTTTGGTACAGTGGCTGTGTGAATTCCTTTCATCTGATTGGGATGCTTTCTGCATTGTTCAATATTTTGCCTGCCCATGAATCCTTCAATAGTTCAACCTGAGGCTTGAATTGCCTTCTGCTTTGGCTATACTTAAGTGTGTTCTTCCCTTTTGTGTCTTTGCACATTTTATCATGCTTTGTATTCTCGAGCTGCTGTTTGCAATTTTCTGTTCAGCTCTTTTACTTCATAATTGCTTTCATTTGCTTTAGTATTCTATGTTGAAGAATACATTTTAGAGTTTCTTCTGACATCCACTTTGATCTTTTTTTTCTTGTCTTTTAAATGACCCTTTGTTATCTTTGTAAGATTTCTTATTTAAAATAGGCCTATTGGCATATAATTTGCATATCCTATAATTCAAAAGTTCAAGCATATTAAGAAGAGTTACACAATCTTTACCACAATGACGTTTTGAACATTTTCTCCTTTAGCATACTCATTGTTTGCTCACCAGTTCTCTCTACCTTCCCCTGCGATGCTCCAGGTAGTGTCTCTCTAGATTTATTTATTGTAAGAGTTAGATAATTTTATGTCAAGTTGAAGCTATATAGTAGTATCTAACCTGTCAATCAGGTTATATAGCCTGATGGTGCCTCCTTGGGAGGGTGGCCATGTTATAAAGAAGACCCTGAGGCCCTCCCCTTCTCCTGAGCCACTCCTCTTCTGTCGGCCTTTTCCTTCCTGTTGGCTGGCCACTCTGAGCGCTGCTGGAGCCCTGCCAAGCTTCCACTGACCTTTGATCTGTGCGACTTTGCACCCACCAGCATGTGCTCTTCCTGCTTTCTGCATTATTGCAGGGGCTTTGCGAGTCTGAGGAGAGACTTATGGACTAGTATCAGGTTTATGGACTAGAGCAAGACGGATGGGATATTTATATATGGAAGAGCTGGATTTGTTTCTTTAATCAACCTACCTAACACACTTATCTTGGATTTCATATACAGAAAATCATACAAAATAAAAACAAGGAACAAAACAACAAAACCTCAACAACAATGACATATAAAACAGAGAAAAATCTCAATCAAAAAGAAATCAGAAAATAGTAAAAACTAAAACAATTTAAAATTGGGTCCATAGAAGATCAGATGATAGGTGTTATATTTTAACCTAACAACCTCTGCCTTTATCCCCCCAATTTTTGGTATCCAATTTATATACTTTCCACTTACATCAACCCAGTGCTCTGAGGAGATAATCATATTTTTTTGACATGAAGAATCTTCATTCCAGTTGGAACCTTGTGAAGTCCGTATTCATAAGCAAAGTCAAATCCGGACAGGCCATCCATAAAGCCAGCAACATTATGCACCAGTTCACAGGCTCAAAAATCTCCATCTGCTCAGGTTCTGGTCAACTCAATGTGGGCTGCCTCACTCAGCCTCCACAGGGTGCCCATTGGTCACTTTGCCTTTAGACCATGGGCTCTCAGCAATACTCAACAAGCCTAGCCCCCTCTTGCTAGGTCATGAACCTTAGACCAGTCAACCCACTCTCATCTTCTCTTTTTCCTGTAAACCAAGTCCATAGGTGTCAGTGGCCAAACTCAATCTGTTTCTTTATTTCTGCATTTCTCCTACTTCCATTCAACAAGTAGATCCAGGGGGCCACCTAGCAAGCATCTCAGCCTGCTCGCAGGCTCCCTTTAACATTTAGTCCCAGAGAGGAGTTTTCTTCATGGTTCCAGATTTTTTTCAGCTTCTGACAAAGACCATTGGTACTCCAAAGCACTGGGTGGGACATATCTTTTCAAAGCTTTTTTTGCAGGCATGACCTAAACCCATCTAAAGATCAAATTTTAATGGCTGAAAGCAAGTGGGCTTACCAGGTTTCTATTTTCATACTTCCCATATTCTTTCCGGAAAACAACCGAACAAACAGTGTGGCTTTATCTGACTTCTGGCTAGCCAAAGAAGAAAAACAACCATGAGGGAGAGGTCAAACAAACATCTACTCTCCATCTTATGATTTGTTTCTCCAGTACCCCACTCCTCAGGGACCATGATGTGTTAGTCTGGATAAATTAGGGAAACAAACCCACAGAAACTCATATGTATAAGCGAGACTTTTATATAAAAGGTAAGTGTACGTTAAGAAAGTATCCCAACCCAGCGTTGTCCAAGCCCATCAGTCCAACATTAGCCCATATGTCCGACACCAATCTACAAAGTCCGCAATCTCACAAAACACACGCAATGATGCTGACTATAGGAGGAAAACCGTATTAGTGAGTGTATAAACAACTCAGTGCTGGCAGGGATCTTCACACAGTTGCTCCAGCACCCAGGGCTGCATCAG